AAATAAAAAACAATAACTTTATGTATATTAATTATGAAAATTAAATTAAAAATAAAACCTAAAATAAATATTATAATAACTATATATTGTCGTTTGCTAGCTGTTCGTCAATAGTAGCGTGAACGCGGCATTACAAAGTTAGGCCCTCAATTCAGGCTTCGAGTTCGTGAACAAATTGATTTCGAGCAAATATTGTCGGCTCTTAACCTGATCGTAGTCTCCTACAATGTTCACACTATTGACAAACAGTTTGCAAGTAGTACGCAACCAATAGTGTGAACGTGGCATTACAAAGGCCCACAATGCTTCCACAATGCTTCGAGTTGGCTAACAGATTTTTTTGAGCAAATATTGTTGACTGTTAACCTGATCGTAGTCTCCTAAAATGTTCACGCTGCTATTGACAAATAGTTTGCAAGTAGTAAGCGAGCAATAGTGTGAACGTGGCATTACAAAGGCCCACAATGCTTCCACAATGCTTCTAGTTGGCTAACAAATTTTTTTGAGCAAATATTGTTGACTGTTAACCTGATCGTAGTCTCCTAAAATGTTCACGCTGCTATTGGCAAACAGTTTGCAAGTAGTAAGCGAGCAATAATGTGAACGTGGCATTACAAAGGCCCACAATGCTTCCACAATGCTTCGAGTTGGCTAACAGATCTTTTTGAGCAAATATTGTTGACTGTTAACCTGATCGTAGTCTCCTAAAATGTTCACGCTGCTATTGGCAAATAGTTTGCAAGTAGTAAGCGAGCAATAATGTGAACGTGGCATTACAAAGGCCCACAATGCTTCCACAATGCTTCGAGTTGGCTAACAGATCTTTTTGAGCAAATATTGTTGACTGTTAACCTGATCGTAGTCTCCTAAAATGTTCACGCTGCTATTGGCAAATAGTTTGCAAGTAGTAAGCGAGCAATAGTGTGAACGTGGCATTACAAAGGCCCACAATGCTTCCACAATGCTTCCACAATGCTTCGAGTTGGCTAACAAATTTTTTGGAGCAAATATTGTTGGTTGTTAACGTGATCGTAGTTTGCTAAAGTGTCCACAATGTTGTTGGTCAATAGTTCGCGAGTAGTGCGAACGCGGCATAAACCCAAGCCCAGACTGGACAGAGTTGCTCGCGAGCAGTGTGGACGCGGCATAACAGAGACTCGACCGAGCCATCCTCGAGCAGTATGCAGGAATTTCGACGCCAGTTTTGTATCGCTATCTCACGAACAGAATGTTCAGGCTTTAACAGCCGAAAGGAATGTTTCTGATGAAACCTAGTAACTCTTTTCACATTTTTTCGTATCTGCTTTGGGATTTGTAAATGACTTCGTATAGCGGCGGTCATAAACATACAGTGTTTATGGAATTTATTTCTGAAAGGGCAAATCCAGTGGAACGTAATAGTTGCTTCTACAGACGATTTAATTCCTGGCAAATTATAAAACTTACCATCTTGCATTTATAACTGCTATTTTCTTGTGTGTTACGAATGAAAAGTAAATTTTTCTGGGAAACAGAAATTTTATTGATGTATTGAACCATTTTGTTCGATTATCTTTCAGATTAAATTTCATGATTCCGCGTTCTAAACGGTCCTTATTTCTCTCGACAAAAAAACAGTTCCAAGAACTCAGCGAACCAATTCTAATATATTCCAATGCCGTAATCACCATAAACGTCAGATAATTTTTTTATAAACTCGAGTGTTTTTTCTCTTTCCCTTTTAACGTTCCCTTTTAATCTCTAATTTCGAAATCGACGCTACAACGGACAATCGTGCATTTTCGACGCATTGGAAATTCAATTCTGTTTCACGAGTTTGACTGTAAAACTTCGGAGGAAACATTCCAAGTGCAAGTCGTTTCGAAAAGAAAACACAACCACATCTCCGTTGGAGATTGTTATAAGTTTATTACAAATTTCATTACAAGTTTTATTATTATTTTTCTACGCACGCTCGCCTGTGAATTTCGTCAGCGAAAGATCGACATCCACGTGCAAAGAAGTTAAAGTTGCGCGAGACGTGAGACACGCGTTTGCTCGAGGATGAAGAAGAGCTCGTATTTTCCAAAGGGGAAACGTGCCACCGCGGATTTATCTTCTGAGGAGCTGACGGATTCTCGTTCTGGCGTGTCCCCATCATACGGGCCGCGTTAAGTCTCTTTATATCGCGTTGGTCCGCTCGTACAACGAATGAAACGTTCCACGAGCTGGATAATTCATGGGACGAAGAAATTCCGACGTTCCTCGAGAAAGGACCCAAGGTAGAAGAGAATTACTTCGCTTCGAGCTAGTAACAGCTTTTCACGCGACTGCTGGAAAAATTTTTAGACGAAAAAAGGATGTAGCTGCGCGAGAAAACTGCCATTTATTTTAATCTCGTTCGACAGATATACAGGGTGTTTCGTAACTTGCGGGAGCTGATTGTACGCCTAAAAATAATGAAAACAAGTCGTATAAATATATGTCCTATATCTGTCTTCGTTTATGAGATATAATGAATTTTCTGTTTCAATTACTTTTACAAAAGATGCTCGAAATGACCACCGTGCATTTGAAGACAAGCCTGCACGCGTCTTGTCATTCATCTGGTTACTCTCTCTATCGTTCCTGGTGTTTCTCGAATTTGTCGGAAGCCTTGCTCCATTCTATTTCGTAGTATTTCAGCATTTTCTGATCGATGTTGCGTATACAATAGATTTTAAGTGTTCCCACAAATGAAAATCTAATGGATTCAAATCCGGAGAACGAGCAGGCCATGCAAATAGAACCTCCACGACCGATCCATTTATTTGCAAAGTGTTGATTTAAAAATTGCCTAGCCACTCGGCTAAAACGCGGCGGAGCTCCATCATGCATGAACCGCATACGAAGTCTAATATCGACTGGAACTTCCTCTAA